AGGGTATCAACTGGCCTCCTCGGCGAACAAAAGCGGAGAGGTCAGCCCATCTTTGACGGCCACAGCAACCACCACAACGCAAAATTGAGGCCCCAGCAGCCGCCTCCATAACACCAATTTCCTTGATCCATGATATCCGGGTTCTGCCTTATCCCGGTGGACGAGGTCGCGGAAGAGTGATCCTGGAAAAGAACAAAGCAGGTTGTACTAAAGAATGCAAAAAGCCAGGTAACAAAGTTATTTATTAAACTTACCGCTTGTTTGATACAACCACTGGCATAAAATAAAAACCAGAACCAGGAGGGAGACCCTGCAACAGAAAAAAGGAGAAATTCCATTAAATAAAATTTTAAGAAAAAGCAAAAGGCAGAAAAATTCATATAAATTAAGAGAAAGAACTAATATAATATTCAAATTTTTAGTTAAGATAATATATTTAGGTTAAGTTGTGTTGTCTAAGTTTATTATTTGTGTTTTTTTTTTGTGTCCAGCATAAATGTTCTTGTTTTTGTGAGGGACATTAACTATTCTAAATTTTATAAGTAAATTGGAGTGTAGGGTTACCCCAAATTACTTTGAGTGTTATAATCAAGATTTTTTTTTTGAGGTTCCGTTGAAGATTGTGGACCAGTTTGCGGGTCCCTCACCACCTAAGAGAGCTCGTTTAGGCAGGTACTAATTGCATAACTTAGAAAGTCCAAAATTTGGTGACATTTAGTTGACTGAAGTAATGAAGGGTGGTCTGATATATATGAACTCCTCAAACAATGACTAAGAGATCCTGATAGTTAATGTTTCAAATTTCAGCTTGTTTGTTCTATTTTAAGGAAATCTTATATATTAATAAATTGTTCGTAATATGATTGTTTGTGTAATCATGATTGTCTAGTTCATTCATGAGAGAGTGAATTTGGTGTACATTGTACTGAGGGGAGTGGGTGTGGAATACGGGGCCCTGATAAAATTGACAGTTATGTAGGATCTCAGGGTCAAGGTTGGGCGGGCTAGTGTGGGAGTGGCAATATCAAACTCCTTTGTTCCAGGTGTACGTAGTGTTTGTGTTATGTAGAATTTGTATTTATCCATTAATTGTTTAATTGTTCGTCCCCAAGGCTATTGGTGTATGGGATGGAACCAACCCCTGAACATGGCTCCTGAGCTAGCGGCCACAACACCATAGTGCCGAAGCAGGTGGCACGTAACATATGTCAAATCATGCTAGAATAGTACATAAACGCTTGGAAAGTTTGATATGTCAAAAATGTTAAAATGTGTTTTTTTAAATATAAATAGTTTTTTATATATTTTTCTATACGACGCCAATCGGTGGTTACTAAAACATGAATTTTTCAAAAATTTTAATTAAATTTGAAAAATTTTCATTCAAAGTTTTTAATTTAAAAATTGGTTTGACAGTTCATTGTCCCAGCAGCTGGGTCGATGCGTCTACCTGTATTCTTCTACCATGAGTCTTCCCCAAATGCATTTTCCAACAATCGTGTGAAGTTGGACGCAGTTCGAAACAGGGTTGCCGTATAAATATAAGCAGTACGAGTTACGCTTTTGCATAGAAATTTGCTGACTTTTAGAACAAATGCCATTATTTTGTTTAATAAATTAATACAGTAAACTTTTATTCTACGACTAGTTCTAGTACCCTATACACTAATGAAAAATATAGATTTCTTCTGGTGCTGAATTTGATAACAATCGTATATTGCATGAAAGAAAACTGTTTGCTAAGTGTATGAGTTTCGCTTGGACCTACTGTATACTGTGCTGACAAAAAGTCAATATTTGGGGTTATAGCAACTGAGAGCCACGTCAAATCATCAAATAGCAATCAAATTGTTCAAAATTTCGCTGTCCAAGCTCTATAATATTATCTAAAATATTTTAATATTTACAACACTATTTACTGACATCTTGTTTTCTTAAAATTTTTTGTAGCACTATATTATGGCCAATAAAAATAATTATTTTGTTTTTTTATTTACATATTATTTTACAATTTACCATTATTTGCTCTTAAAGCAACCACAAATAAAATACAAAACTAAGAAATGCAAAGCCTGCCATTATTAATGAAAATCTCTTTACGAGAGACCGAAAGAAATGAAACTAAAAACAAAATAGCCACTAATAAACCAACTAAAGTTCAATTGTTCCGTTCCAATTTTATTATTAAAACAATTAAAATTAAGTATATAAACAATATATTTCATTTTGTTTTCTATTTCACAACTCAAGAAATATGAACAAGAAGAAGAACAGGAAACGTACAGTAACCATTATTCCTCAAAGTCAATATTATTAAAATTATATACATACAAATCAATTGAATTAATACTACAAAACAAAAAAAAATACAAGTGTGAATTACGCCAGTGTGAGTATTTATTTTGTCTGTACTATAAGTTTAACTTTTTTGGTATCATCATTATATATGAATATAAATAAAGACTAAAATTAATAACTGTTGTAAAAAATTAAACACATTGTCATTTTAATTGAATGTTAAACCCAAAACCAAATTACAACACGAAAAAAAGGAGCAAACAAAAATAAACAAAAAACTTTCAAACAAATATTTAAAATAGTAGTTTTATTTTGGGCTCGGAATTCTGGATTTGGAGAAGAAGTAAGTTTACATATTTGCAACAATCTCTTTCTATGCAGTTAAATTTGACCAGGTGAAATACAGCAAATGCAAAGATGGTTATTTGAAATGACTTTACCTTCTTAATTTTACCATGGGAAATTCCTTATGGTACAATTATCAAGGTAATCTCTATGGTAGAAGAATACAGGCATCAACGCTAGGGAACATTGATATATCAAAAATTTAAAAATTTTTATTCAAAAATAAGTAGATTTTTATAAGTTTTCCTATACGACACCAATCGGATGTTGTTGTGATATGCATTTTTTTTACAATTTCTACAAATTTTAATAATTTTTCATTCAAAATTATCAATTCTAAAATTAGTTTGACAGTTCATTTTTCTAGCAGCTGCGTCGATGCGACACCTATATTCTTCTACCAAGGAAATCTCATGCAATCATACGATTATTTTTTTATTTGTTGTCCTTTTATGTCAAATTAATGTATTATAATTCTTCCTTAAATATGAGCGTAAGACTGGCAAGAAATGTACATATATTTTCGACCAAATATTTTCTTATTTTCACGTCTTTAAGAGGGTAAACAAATAATGGAAAAATATTATCTAAAACAGAAAGCGAAATTATTAGTCTCACAGTCAGACTTGACTCATGGTAGAAATAACAATTTGAAGTTAAGTAATCATATGTTTACAATTTTTTCAAATGCACACATTTGACAACATCTCATTGTCAAAATCTATATTCATAAATCCATTGTATACACACAAAATCAGAGACGGGAACTGTTTTTTATGCATTACAATTAGAAAAAGCAAATTAAGGAAATGCAGCGCTGGGAATGCTAATTTAAAATGAGGTTACCTTTATTTCATTGTACCACGACTTGACTATGAAATGGTTGAATTTTGATAGAAAGTATCATTTTGCTGTAGCGACAAAGTTTCGTCTTGTTTTACTATAATACCGATAGAAGATCGTTCCGAATTTTAAGTCGGTATGTGCTTAAGTTCATTGCAGGAAATTGGCTTTTTCGATTGGCTTAAGTCATCGGTTGGCTTCTTCGTTGAGGAACAATGTAGTTATGGGTTGAATTAATTCGATTTTGGCCATACGCTCCTTTGCTCTTAAGCCAGACAAAAAAGCGTTTTATGTACTCTCACCTTAAGATTTTCTTTTAGTGCAGAATACATACAGTATGTATTATACAGATATATTGCCATCATAAATATCCTTAAATATAAGCATACAGCTGGAAAGATATTGAAATTTCTTTCCGACCAAATTTTTGGTAATTTTCACGGCTTTTAGAGAATATAAAATTCCAGGAAGAATATAATCTACAACGGGCGAGTAAAATATTAGCCTTATAAATCATGTAAGGTTTAATCATGGAAAAATTAAGAAGGTCAAATAATTTATAATAAGCTATCATCTCTGCATTTTCTGTCAAATTTCATTGCACTGACCTTGTCAAATTTCACTGCACAGAAAACAAGTTCCCATTTCTGATTTTTGTATATACAATGGAATTATATATACATTTAGACAATGAGATCATGGTAGAAGAATATAAGTAGTCGCATCGACACAGCTGCTGGGGCAATGAACTGTCAAACCAATTTTGAAATTGAAATTTTTGAATGAAAATTTATTTAAATATGTAAAAATTGTTAAAAATGCATATCATAACAACCTCCAATTGGCGAGGTGTAGGAAAACATACACAAATCTACTTATTTTTGAAAAAACATTTAAAAATTTTTGACGTACCAATGTTCCCAAGCGTTGATGCATCTACCTGTATTCTTCTACCATGCAATGAGATGTTGCATGACTTGATTTTCTTAATTCTTCCATGAGATTGGTTATGAATGGTTGAATTTTGTTGCTTCTTCTTAAACAACAAAGGTTGACTCAGTTCAATTTCGTCCCATAATTGTTCACCCTACGCTCCTTTGTTTTTCATGAAGAAGCCAGTCGATGTCTTGAGCCAGTCAGAAAAGCGTCTTAAGGTGAGAATACATAAAACACCTTTTTTGACTGCCTTAAGTCATCGGCTTGGTAGAATTAAGAAGGTAAAGTCATGCAATCATATGCTTACAATTTTTTTCAAAATTATTCATTTGACATTTGATTTATAAGCCCTTTTTCCATGAAGTACCAAAATCGAACTAAGTCAACCTAAAACTCATTTGTTCCTGCCAGACGATGACGTAAGCCAGTCAAAAAAGACTTTTATGTACTCTCACCTCTATGTATTCTCACCTTAACAGACTGCAAAGCGGTACACAAAACATAAAAACCGGCAATTGAATGATGTTTCCTTTAACAAAAATGTATTTGTGACCCCTAATGACTTTACCATTCGGTCTAGGGATCCCTCGTCTATTTTGTTATTGTTCTCTGCCTGTGTCGGCCAAATTGATGAAATTGATGTGCAAGAAAAAATAAGTTTATTTTGAGAACGCATTCTTTCAGAATTAGTAAACATTCTGCTTAAATTCCAACAAACTTTACTTGCCTCTGCATTGAATTGCAGACGTATAACGGTGGCGACGGTCAAGTGCGGTGGACGGATGTTGGGTGACGGTGAAGAAGATACAGGCCATAATGCCGCCGATAATGGTAAGCGAAACTTGCGTTTCGGTTTATTGATTTTGTCGGCAAATAAAACTGACATCTGTTATTTTCAGGTCAAAATGAAGATACAACATGGCGTGGCTGTTGCATGGATGAAATTTACAGAAATCTAGATCCATTTGAGTTGGACCACTTAGCTCCGGTTAAACCATCTGACTCACATACTGTGCTACATCATTTTCCCATCAGGGAAGATGATTCCATACCACCTAAGCCATTGAAAAGTCATCCTAAATGGGATGCATTTCATGTTAGACTGCCGTGTTCGAATAAGTCACAATATCCTGTTGTCGCTGAAGATGGTACCTCATCCATAGAGAATCGCTGGGAAATGATCGAGAAGGCATTGCTCAGGCCCATAGAGAATTCGCGTGACTTGGAATCGGCCATTTTGTCTTATAATACAAAATATGAAGGCCATTGGACATTTCGAGCTTTACACAAACTTTTTGAGGAAGAATTGGACGAAGATGAGTCAAGGGTTTTCTTCGAAGACTTATTACCGCGTGTTATACGCTTGGCTCTTAGACTGCCGGAGTTGGTGCAGGCACCAATACCATTGCTTAAACAGGGGAAATGTCATGCGATAACATTGACACAGGAACAAATATCATGTCTATTGGCAAATGCATTTCTCTGCACATATCCACGTCGCAATACACTAAAGAAGAAATCTGAATACAGTACCTTTCCAGACATAAACTTTAATCGTTTATTTCAATCATCTGGATCTGCAGTATTGGAAAAAATCAAATGTATTTGCCATTATTTCCGCAGAGTGTGTCCCACGGAGAATGATCGATCTAATGTACCCACGGGGTGCGTTACATTTGAACGGCGTATTATACCATTAGCTGAATTGCCAAATTGGTCAGCATCCTGCAGACCTTTGGCAGTGACACCATTACACATCAATTCGGCTGGTACGATAGAAGACCAGGGTGGTGGTTTGCTGCAAGTCGATTTTGCTAATAAATTTCTGGGTGGTGGTGTTTTGGGCGGCGGATGTGTCCAGGAAGAAATACGTTTTGTTATTTGTCCAGAGTTAATTGTATCGAAACTTTTCACTGAATGCCTACGACCCTCTGAAGCATTGGTAATGGTGGGCTGTGAACGTTACAGTAATTATAGTGGCTATGCCAACACCTTTCAATGGGATGGAAATCATGAGGATATGACACCACGTGACTCATCGAGACGTCGCATGTGTCATATCGTGGCAATTGATGCTTTACTATTTCATCAGTCGTCACATCAATATCGAGAGGAGTTAATGTTGCGAGAATTAAATAAAGCCTATGTGGGATTTTTCCATCCATTAAGTACTACTGCGCCAGGTGTAGCCTCTGGAAATTGGGGTTGCGGTGCATTCGGTGGAGACGCTAATCTCAAAGCCTTGCTGCAACTCATGGCCTGCACAGTTACCAGTCGTCCATTGGTATATTTTACTTTTGGTAACGAAGAATTGCGAGATGAAGTTCATAAAATGCACACCTATTTCATAGAAAACAATATTCTTGTGAAAGAATTATGGACGGTATTGAAAAGGTTTCATGCCAGCAAATTATCCGGAAACGAATTGTATAAATTCATATACTGTGAATTGGATAAAATGAAGGTAAGCGTATAACTTCATTCTTAGGTAAGATAGATTAAGTTTTGTAGAAAATATGTATCTTTATGTTTTCTTTCACTTTTCACAGGCCAAGAACAGTTTCTGTTGATTTCTTAATTTCGTTACATATGATGACAAATAGAAGTTGTTTCAAAGGGGTTTAAAACAATTTGCTTTGGGACCACAAATCACAGCAACCACGTTGCAGAATATTCTTTATATTGATGTTAATGCCAATCTAGTCTTTACACCAATCAGCAATATGAATGAATTCAACAATTTTAATATGGTGTACAAATAGATATTTCATATTATTGTTTTATATTATATTGGGTTTGTTTTATTGCCTGCAAAAAATATTAAAACGTACGATTATGGTTGTATTTTGGAAAGGTGGGAAGTTAATTTTAACCCATTATTGTGTTTCATTAGGGCAAACGCTTTCCATAAATACTATGGTTAAATTCTACACATTACTATAATCCTTTGACTTTTAGCTGTACATCCAAATCACTTTCATTTCTTTACGTTTTCTAAAAAATTACATTATTTTTCGTTTCCCTCTTTTTGTCTTTCCATATATATTCCAAACGTGTGTATTTAGCGTAGTCAGCAGGAAAAGATCGACAAAACCGAAACCCTCCCGAATAATGATCCAACCCAGACAAAGGTTGAAGCCAAGGAACCCAAAGCATTATCGCCTAGTAAATCCCTTTCCCCAAAGCCAAGCACGTCCTTGAATGCAAAACGTAGCTTAGAGGAAAGTCTGGATGTATTCGCTTCGACATCCTCTGAAGCTGAGAATAAGACGAACGTTACACCGCCGCCAAAAGTAAAGACTATAGATCTAAGTATATCGGATGATAGTGACACTGATCAAATGTTGGTGGCTGCCACTGATAGAGCCTGTGAAACATTGACTCCAAGTAAAAAACCAGATAAGCAATCAACTGCAACAACGGCAAAACATGGTTCGCCGAATGTTTCGAAGCCAAGGCAACGTACACTTTTGGAAATGTTGGATCAAACATATAATCAAATTACCGGTCCAGCAACAAAACGTTATTGTGTCACAAAATCTCCCCAAAAGCCGTAATAATACCGATACCTGTTTAAAAAACGACACAAAATACATTTTAAATATACAAATATATCTTTTTCAATTCAAATTAAATTGTTAGTTGAAAAGTCCCAACATAAAAAAGAAAATAAACTGATTTTATCTTAATAATGATAAAGAATTTGTAAAATGCGATTTTCTTTTTTTAAGTCTTGGAATATACACCGTAATTGCTGAGGCAGATCGCATACGAAGTTGATAGTTATATCGATTTGACCCCTCCAAAGAGTTTAAGAGTTCCTCCCACTTAAAAGGTGAGAATAAAAACATGTAAATAAAAACCCGCTTTTTACATGATATTAGTGCACGATTTTTTTTAAACTTCGATTGATATTCTGGCGATAATATGGAATAATATCGGTCAACTCTTTCTGTTACCATCCACAAAACCGGTCTAAATTTTGAACAATTATACATCCACGTATTAAACGTATGGCTAAGTTCGAAAAAAATTTGAACGATTTTTCATTCCAACTTTAAAAATACCCAAAATCTAAAATCAAGTACATACACACTTATATTATTTATCTTCTTGTTAAATATTTTTCAAATATTTTTGTATTTTTATTTTACAAACAAATAATACGTTACCTAAAACTAGAATGTCTTAAAATTACATTTTCTTGCCAAATTTTCCAATCGCATTTCGTTTGGGTGGTACCCAACGCAGATAGGCTGGATCAACGGTAAGTTTTGGTTTCTTAAATTGTGGCAGCTGTAAGTGTTCCATAATTGTTTTTGGTGTCACACAAATGACATGCTGTCCTTTCCAATATTTTACCATTTTCATTGACTGCAGTGTGTAGATAATGTCGTCGTGTGTGATACCGCTTAGCTCACTAAGCTCTTTAATGCTTTGTGTGGTGGCTCGACAATCTTTCATTAATTCGAGCAATGTATAAGCCCAATAACTGCGATAGCTTAAACGTCCCAAATCGGACAAGGGCTTCTCTGGACTGCCAACAATACCTTCACGCCGTGATAGCTCATAACTAAATGCTATCAATAGTTTACCATATCCCTTGCGTTGATATGGTGGTAATATCAAAATGCAAGCAACGTTATTGTTTTCCGGCGATTCCTTTTCCTTCGAAAAATAACCCACAATGTGTGCACCTTTTTTATCAATTTCACACAGTACATAGAAATAAAATGGTTCCACGTCATAATATAGGGTTTTGTGGTCCAAAAACAGTTTAGCCATGAGACATAACAACTGGCAGTACAGTTTGTGATCCTTGCCGTCTATTTCAAATATTGATATTGTGCCCTTGCGATAGATCTCATTGCCTGGTGGCTGTCTCTGGGTGCATTCGGAGGCATGATAACGATAGGTTTTTTGAAAACGCATATATTTCAAGCAGTACTCACACACGTACAGAGTACCCACCTTGCCATACTCATCTGGATATGGACTAAAATACCATGTATCGATTTCAAAATGTCCAATGCGCAACTTGTCTATGTATTTCACCTTGGTTATGGCTTCGTGTTCCTTTTCCAAGGCCGCTGTTGTTGGATCCATTTCTGCATATGTCTTTTGCACATGATTTATTTCATCGTGACGTCTTTTCTGATTTCTTGTTAGTTTTCTATCACCATTCTCAGCTGCTGAGGGATTTTCCAACGAAGCAATTTGTTGCTTACTAACTTGTTTTATGGCCTTTGATCCACTCACCGTTTCGGAAACAACTGCGCCATTACCCGCCGCATTGCTATCCGTTTGAGTGGCGTCTGTGATACGATCTCTGGAAACCCATTCATCTAAACGCCTATTTAGTCCAACATAATGGACATAGTATTCGGCTTTTGCACTGGAGCCGGGTTCTGTTTCTCTTGACTGGATAATTTGCGCCGGATGACAATTACCATCGGCTCTTTTTATCATATAAACATCTCCAGTATTGATTTGCATATCTTCATTTGTTTCGGTTGAATCAGTATTGTCGGGATGACTGGGAACTGTCTCGCTAGTGCCGGTGCTGTTTTTATTGGCATCATTTGCAGTTTTCAAGGGTTTGTCTGTGGCATCGGTCATTTCTTCGCAATTCATTTCCTCGGATTTTGTGCCGTCATTGGATTGTTGATTTTCATTCGCCGCTGTTGAGTTTTTGCTTTCTACAGCCATTTTAATTTAGTTACGCTTTTTAACAATTTCCTTTATTATTTTTTTAACTTTAATTATTGTTCAAACGTAGAGCATCCCTCAAAATTATTTTATAAACATTGAAACAATTTCAGACAACGAGGCTGAACGATTTTTTCATCGGCGTCGGTTTATTATGTGTAAAACAATCGGTGGCGGCTAACATGTGCAAACTATCGATTAATCGACTTTTTGTATTGAAACGCATAAAGTAGAGTATACACCATCATCCAACATAAGAGTTGTTTGCAGAGCTGCATACATTTCTTTAGTCATCATATAAATATATAAATAATCGCTGATGCCGAACTGCCAGCTTTTTTCGCTGTTTATTTTTACAATAGTGGAAACACAATAGCGACAGTAAACTATAAATTTGCAGTGTAAATATGTAAATATCAAATCCTGAGCATATATCTCAATGTTTTTCATGAAAAATTAAGGAGGTACATTTGCCAAATCGGTTAAGGAAACCGCGCTTGTTGCCAAAGTTGGTCGATTTTTACTAAAATTGGGAATATTTTTAGGGATGACATCTTAGTTTTTATTTCGGTAATTTTATCATTATTTCGCATTAATCAGTACTAAGAAAATAAAAACATATAAACATCGTGATTTTGAGATTGAAATATATTTCGAAACGCTGTTACGTAAAATTCGACGTATTTATATGTTTGTTACCCAACTACTTCGAGCCATGGTACAATAAAAAGGCAAGGTAAAACTACCAGCTTATTTCAATTTTTTTCTAACTGTGCTAGACTTCTGTCAATATAATTAACTGTCATATATAATTAATTCGGACTTACAAATTTTGAATATTGAATATTTGTGTCCGCTACGTTGAATTTTAGGTACCGCTGTAAGAGTTCTTAATTGAGTTATTAAGTTAAAAAAAAATATTTCTTTGCCAAAACTGAGACTACTTCTTGCTGTCAATATATTACAATTAAATCAAGGTAACCCCGCTTCAGGTAATAATATCCAGCTTTGCATTTTCTCTAATTTGTCTTCACATATTAAAACTTTATTCAAAACAACAGATTTATCAATATATGTACATTTTGACAATGATTTTTTTTTTCAAAACATATATATACAAAAAATTTTAAAAAATTTAATGAACACAAAAATAAAATTTTCAAAAAAAAAAAAAAAAAAAATTATAATAATAATTAAGTAACTGCATCGAACTTTTCTCAAAATTGTTATTAATGTTTGCAGTTTCCCATCTCTGATTTGTTTATGTACAATAGATTTATAAATACAAATTTTGACAATGAGATGTTGTCAAATGAATAATTTTTGAAAAAATTGTAAACATATCATTGCATGACTTTACCTTCTTAATTCTACCATGTCTACCATGTTCTAAACCAATATGCTTTTAATATATTTCTATGTTTTGTGACATGTATGTATGTATTTGATAACATTTTCTAATTCCAAACACTTGACCTTCAACTTCTATTAGTTTTAGGTTCTTACACTCAAGAAAGTAAACAATAGAATCATTATTAGAGTACTTCGCCGAATGTATTTTGTCAATAACAACGATAAAGATGTTATATCTTTATCATGTTCCAAAATAAAGTGCAAATAATAAAAGAATAAAAATAAGATTGCAGTATGGCAATATAACAATCAATAGGTCTCTCTGGTTACCTACAAAATTGCAAAATTCTTCCAAATTATTAATGGAAGTCTTTTGCTTACAAAAAAAAGAATTCTAAAAAAGAGAGATTCGAGAAGGGAAATTTTGACAGTTTTTTTTTACTGAGAATAAAACTACCTTGCTTTCTCAGAAAGTTTTCCTACGAAACAGATCTTTTTCTCTGAGAAAGAGTTTGACGGACAATTCCTGTAGGAAAAATAACCAGACATACCTAATGTTGGCAATAATTTTATTTACGTTGCAATCTGAAGAAAATTTCAAATTATTTATTTAAAACGTCATATTTTATAATAGAATACTGACATGTTATATGGTGTAACTTTTATCGATCTTAAGTCTCTCCCACACCTCATTTCTTATGATTTTACAAATTAATCCATAAAACTGTCTGGGTTTTTGCATTATTCTAATTCTGAACATTGGATTAACCTTCTTCAAGTGGATTAATTTGGAATATAAGTAAGGGATATGACAATTTTTTCAAGTGGATTAATTTGGAATATAAGTAAGGGATATGACAATTTTAATTCAAATCCAGTGGGGTAACCCATTTATATGTAAACGTACTGTTAACTAAGATATATAGCGGAAAATTTTTCAAAGGTATATAAATTTGACACTAAATTACAACAAAAATATAAACTACGAAACATTTTCAGGTGTGACAAAGTACTTTACACAAATCGCATCTTTTATTTATTATTTCGAAAAATTGTACTTTTTCGTTCGTTAAACTCATACTTTCTTATTTGCTCTGGGATCGGAGCAAATACAAATTACCTTTATTCCGTACATCAAGTGCCCAAACCAATTTAATAAGGCCAGGAAGTAGGCCAACTTAAAGTGAGAGTATATAAGAGGCTTTTTCGACTCGCTTAAGTCATTGACCGGCTTTTTCGTAGAGGAAAAAAGGAGTATTATTTTTTCCGAAGAAGACAGCCGATGACTTAACCCAGTCAAAAAAAAAGTTTTAAGATGAGAATATACAGAGTGAGATGAAAAAACTGCAACCAACTTCAGTCATTTCTAAGCCACTCGTCCGACTGCTGTTAAATTTATTCCAGTGACAGCTCATTACATTGTTTACAAGCGTACAAAAGCATTTTGGTGAGAATTTTCCAGAAAAATAGTTATTCGTGATGGAATTCAAGCGTGATTTCTTTATATTTGGCTGGAAACCCACAAGTGACTATCGTTAGAGCACTCCAGCATTTAAATGTGAATAAATCTTTTGTGTCTCGTATCATTGCTCGTTACCGTGATACTGGTAGCGTAGCTCGACGTTAACAAAAGAAAACAGCAAAATCAGCAGAAATGGTTCGAAAAGTAAACAAGCTACTAAATGGCGAAAAATGGCTCGTGAGCTAAAAATATCGCAAAATTCCATTCGGCAAATATTGAAAAATGAACTCGGGGTAAAGCCATTGAAATTTCAAAAAGTCCAAGAACTTACACCGCAACAGAAAGAAAATAGACTCAAAAGAGCAAAAAAGTTTCTTCGCTTGGCCGAAAGTGGTGAACTGCCGAATTTGGTTTTCTCCGATGAGAAAACATTCGTTGTACAGCCGTTTTGTAAACAAATAAAATAATCGTGTTTACTTGCCAAAGAGGTCAGCTGAAAATGTGCACCTTCGGATGGCCACCAGATCTCAAGCGCCGGCCATGGTGATGGTGTGGGCCGCCATAACAGCCGATGGTCGCTCTCCGCTCGTAATAACCGACCGTGGCATCAAAATAAATGCCGAATATTATCGTAATAATATTGTAGAGGGTGTATTAAAGCCTTGGACATGCAAACATTTTGTCCGCAGGCCTTGGACATTCCAACAGGACTCAGCACGCGCCACCCAAAAATGGTTACAAAATGTGGTTTCTCGCTCCATTTCCAGCGCACAATGGCCACCAAAATCTCCGGATACCAATCCGTTGGACTATTGTGTCTGGAGTATTTTGGAAAGCAAGGTTGGCACTGAAAAATACGAAAGTGTCGATCACTTCAAGCAAGCGCTTCGCCGGAAATGGGCCAAAATACCGCAGATCAACATTCGGGCAGCGTGTGACGGTTTCATTGGTCGTTTGAAGGCTATAATTCGTGCCAAAGGTGACCAATTCGAACAAATCTAAACTTATTCTAAAATTTGATGCTATTTCCCACATTTTTTGCTTTCATTCAATAAAATTGAAAAAAATGTAAAAATTATGGTGTTTGACTTGTTGAATTTTTTATCTCACCCTGTACACTCGAAATCAGAGATGGGAACTGTTTTTTATGCATTGGCATTTGACAAGGTAAATTACAGGAAATGCAGAGCTGGGAATGCTTATTTGAAATGAGATTACCTTTATTTCATTGTACCATGTAGTATGCATTACCAGCTTCAAATACCAATTTTTTTAAACAATTCCGGTGAATAATGTCGCTAAAATCATTAAAATATCGAATATAGGGAGGTACCGTTATATGACAGACAATTTTCTGCCTTAGGCTGTAGTCTCCATTTTGAACTTCAAATACTAAATTTGAAATAATTCCTGTGAACAATGTCGCTAAAATCATCAAAATACCGAATATCGGGAGGTACCGTTCTATAGGGGCTATACGAAGACGTGGACCTGCACAGACAATTTTCTGTCATGGGCTTTAGTACCCATTACAAACTTCAAATACCAAATGTGAAACAATTCCGGTGAATAATGTCGCTAAAATCATCAAAACACCGGATATAGGGACGTGGACGTACATGGTCCATTTCAATACCAAAAGTTCTGCAGACATAATTATTATTCATTTGAGTAAAATTTTATCAACCTAATTCATTTCGTTCGGAAACTAGAGTGATTTTCACAGACGGATCAAGAATATATACACTTTGTGGGGTCTAAAATGTATATTTCGAGGAATGACAAACTTAATATACCCTCCATATTATGGTGGAGGGTATAAAAATGTTTGTTTCCACCGCCAACGAAGAGAGCATCTGACCGTACCGGTCTCACCTTGATTAGCACATTTATAGGGCTATCATTATTTCATATCTCAGAATAGAAATTAAACTATGTATATCGAAATTGTGTCATGATCATATGTAAATGTATATATGTCCGTTCTATATTGAAGAGGGTGTGCGTATTTTAAAAGAGCTTCACCTCTCAACATGTATGTTGCTATAGTAACGAGCTACCCCAGAGTGACGTATTTCCTCATGTGCCCTAATCAACGTTATGTTTATCAGTATTTTTGGCACTCACGCAAAAATTTGGAAATCATATGTGTAAATATTGGGCAATAGGAAAATTTTGTTTGTTCTTACGTGCCAAATAAAACGTGCCCCTTTTTTCAAATTCAAAGCCTATATACATACATATAAACATATAAATACGCACAATCTAGTATATCGAAAATATTGTCTCATGACTTTTCAGAT